GCACTTTTCACATCTTCAACTGGTACACCCATTCTAGTACTTTTTTTATGAATCCGAAGTTATTTTCTTCCATTTTTCTAATGCTACACCACAACCTGAAGATAACGCAGAGTACTCCAAGCCCCGTTTCATAATCTGCTGCAAAAGCTCGATACTCAACCATACTATAGACTCGAGATCCTTAGACACCACACTTTAAAATTTTGAATCCACTAGGACCGTTATTGAGAGCCACTTGCTCTGACTTGTTCCCAAACATGATCAATTCCAAGGCCCTGCTAGCACATGGATACTTTATCAAGGAAACATCCGACTATTTCACTTTCATGTGCATTACATCTACACGAAGCATAAACTCTGAGTCTTCCAAAAATCTGAATATGGATTAATAAGGCCAAATATGGCACACATTCCCCAAATACTTTGCTCAAAATTACCACTGATGTTTTCTTTCCTTAGTTGCAATGACCCACCCATACACCGATAACCAGAAACCACACAAGTTGACACTACCTAATCCAATCATAGACGGTANAGCTCGTTACCAGCTTTAAACCTTTCTGACGATCATCCTTCTTGAGACATCAACACTAGAAACGCTGATTCGATCCTGAATCACTATACACCGCGATCTCTAACGACTGCTTCCCATATACAAATTCCTAACACCCCGTCGTGAAGGCGAGTTGAATAAAACCATAACACCGGCGAACCTTAACGCATTTTACAAGGCTATGACACCACATCAAAATTGAGAACTCTACCACACTTGAAAATATCAAACTTCGTTACTCCATCAACCCCAAACCTGAACATTCATAGTCCGATTGCCTTTTCTCCGCTGAAATTAAAACATGGAACCTCTGAATCATGTACTGAGAAAACCTTCTTTCAAGTCGTTTACTGCCCTGACACATAGACAAGCATTCTACCATTACATAAACACTGTGCGATAATAACGCACGAATCGTCGTAACAATCAATGCCAAATTTCAAAACCTTAGGTAGTATTGGTACTGAACTGAAACGATAGAGCGGCCTTCCGCAAGGCGACGACAATAGCCCAATTAATTACACAGGGAGAAGCACCCCGCACTACATCTGTAGTACCATTAAAAATTTCCTCGATCCCCAATTTATAACAAGCGCTTCACGTTGCATAAGATTGAATAGGAAGGAAATGTAGGCATAAGCCTCAAAGGAATCGAATCGCACGATGATGAATCAAAAAGAAAAGTATTCCTAACATCCCTGTAGCCTCTCGAAGATAAGCACAGACGTCTCCGTACCGATCCGCAAGACTCTACTAGACTTGCTCATGACTCGTGAGACCTACGTGAACCTAGTGCTCTGATACCATGTTATCACGACCCAAAATCCAATTAAAGGCCGTGATGGCGCCGGACACCACTGTCAGGCAAGCCAACCATAATCAATTAACTTAATTACCCATTTTAGTATTTTTGAAATAAAAATTTCTTCAATGAAATTGTAAAGATAAAACTCATAGAGTAAATGATAAATATTTTTAGCAACTAAATTTTTAAATAATTCACAACCATTTTCAAAACCCGATGTCACAAGTGCATGATCATTTTCTAGGGAATTAAAAATAAAATACAGCATCTGTCCAGAATACAAATTAGACAGGAAAATATAATAACTCTAAAGGAGACTCTCTTAGCTGCGGATCGTAATATAGAATGCAACTCACCTATATCCCCATAATTATTAACCACACCTCTGCACTCACAAGGCCGCTATACATATATGTACCTGCATAATAAAATATGCAACAAGTGCAATATGAGTACGAAAACAACGTGTACCCAGTAAGTATCAAGCCTAATCTCGAAGTGGTAGAGACGAGATAGCCGACTTTGACACTCACTATGGGTCAATAATAAAAATTAGAATAAATTATAATTATTCAAATCAGCATAGTTCACAGAGTTAACAATAATTTTATTCAATTAGGAGAAATAATAAGAATCCTTCAAATGCAATAATTTTCCAATTTATTAATTAAATCATGAAATTTCAATAAAACTTTCAATTTAACCAATAGCTTTACAAGCTGCAATTCAATTTCAATAAATTTTTCAATTTATCAATTAGTCTCATTTACAGGAATAACAATAATTTCTTAACAAGCAGGAATAATAATTTATTAAATTTCAAAGATTTTTAATTTATCAATTAGCTTCGCAAATTGAAATAAACTATTAAGGTATCATGTAATTATTATTATTAAGCACGATTTCTGTCGAGGACGTACGACCCGATCCAGAGTGTCGTGTACATTGCTGAGGGACGTGCGGCACGATCCATAGATGCATCTATCCTGCCGAGGCGTTCGGCCCCCTCCATAAGAAAGGAGGACATTTTCTTATGTACCTCCGGAAGGAGAGTATATTTATTATGAGATAAATTCGGGAGAAAAATAATTTTTTTTAACAATTAATTGATTTAAACAGAAAATCAAGCATATGAGATTTCCATCATTTGATATCTTTATCTAACAATTCACAATATATTCATATATATCAATTAATATTAATTAATCAAGGAATACAATTTACACAAGTAATTCATGCTTTGAGTCCTAAATTATCCGGACTTTAGCATTTATAGTAGCTACGCACGGACTCTCGTCACCTCGTGCATATGTACCCCCCGCAATTAGCAATAATTATATAATTTAATCCCTATGGGGTAATTTTCCCCTCACAAGATTAGACAAGAGACTTACCTCGTTTCAAAGTCCACTTTCCGATTACCACGTTGCGTTGAATTCTCGATTTGACGCCGAAAATCCGAAACTATCCAAATATTATAAATAAATTATTAATATATGCTAAATGATTCGAAATCTATCTATTAAATTAATTACCCTATCCAAAATGATAAAATTTCTAAAATTCATCGCGGGCCTACATGCTCGGATTCTGGAAATTTTCAGATGAAAACGTTACCCATAATCTTAAGAATTTGAATATATAATTTTTACCCAATTTCATAACTATTTTCGTGGTCAAAATCTCATTTTTATAAAAATTTAAGGTTTTCATCTAACTCTTTGATTTTTAAGATTTACTAGTTATAATCTATTTATAATCTATGTATTTAACTCAAAGGGTGTAGAATTAACTTACCTCCAAGTTGATAGTTGAAATCCTCTCTCGAACAGCTCCAAAATCGCCCAAAAATGGAGGAAACACGGACAAAAATGGCTCAGCCTCGTCCTTTTTTAACATTCTGCCCGAACAACTTTTTCGCACCTATGGAGGGTTACCGCACATGCGGCTTTCGCACCTGCGGAAATTCCTCGCAGGTACGAGTTCCACTCGCCTGGGCCAAGGTCGCATCTGCGCAAAATTCTCGCACCTGCGCGTTCGCAGGTGCGCCCAATGTTCCGCACCTGCAATGTCAGGCCCTCTTTCCCCCTTCCGCTTTTGCGATTGAAGCTCGCATCTGCGAGGGTTGCACCTGCGGCTGTCCAACCGCAGGTGCGAACGTACCAGAAGCAAAAAGCTTCAGCATTTTTCTCCCAAGTCCGAAATTGGTCTGAGCCTCGTTCGGTTAACACTCGGGACCCCCGGGGCCCCGTTCGAACATACCAACAAGTTTGAAATCATAAAACGGACTCGCTCGAACTCTCGAAATGCGTAAAATAATATCAAATCTAAGAATTATACCCTAAACCAAATTGATTTAAACTTAGGAATTTCAAGTTTTTCAATTTACGTCCAATGCGCCGAAATATACTTAACTACTCACAATCACACGGAAATTTGCATATAAGTCTTAAATCACTATACAGAACTATTCCCAAATTCAAAATTCCAAACGGACTTCAATTACTCAAAAACCTACTCCAAACCAATTTTAAAGAACTTTAAACCTTCAAATAGTTAATTTTTACTATTAAGCGCCAAAACGCTCCCGAGTTATCTAAAATCCGATTCGAACATACGCCCAAGTCCGAAATCATCATACGGACCTATTGGAACCGTCAAATCACGATTCCGAGGTCGTTTTCTCAAAATGTTGACCGAACTTTGCCTTTTAAGGTTAACTTAAGGAACCAAGTGTTCGGATTTCAACCCAAACGCGTCGAAATCCCGAACCAATCATCCCCGCAAGTCATAAATTATTAAAAATATATTCGGAGAGTTTTATTTAAGGGAATGGGGTTCTAAAAGTCGAAACGGCCGGTTGGGTCGTTACAATTTGTTTGATGTCCATTTATAAAAATTGACTCTTCAAAGTAACATTCTTCAAAAAGAAAAGGAAAAAAAAAATTAATATTGACTAATTTTTGTGATGTTTCTTTCTCCAGCATGTAGGTTTACTTCATTATATATGTAAGTAAATTTTTATTCGATTTTTAAACTTCTTTTTGTTATCTGGATAAACATAGACGTGTACCCTATATATTACATTTATTTTAAAAGAAATTCGCTTTATTCAAATCTAGCTATATTGTTTTAAAGAACTATAAGTATAGGATTTTAAATGTGAAAGAGTTTTATAGTTATATGGAGTAGTTTTTTTTTTCTTTTTTGCCATAGCCGAAGTAGTATTTAAATAATTAGATAAGATAAAAAAAAGTTCCTAACATGATTGCATATGATATAAAANAGCTTCATTAAGATTGTGCTATTTCGAATTTTACAAGATTTGACCATCCTCCCTTATGTATCTATTTATTAAAATTCCATTACAAGGTACTAGGAAATAAAAAGAGCATTCTGCTAAAAATAAAAAAAACAGAGACGTTCTTCGGAGTGTTTAAAAGGTTCTCCAATTACAACGTTGGTTTAGAATTCCATATAAAGTTTCTCCTATTACATGTTGGTTTAGAATTACTTATACCAAATCCAACCAAAACTAGGTTCTTCATTACATTATATATACACAAACGGCCTACCTTCTCAAGTTGCCTTCCAAAATACTTACTACCTTTGCCCTTCATTACATATCTGCAACTATAGACTATGGCGACGCCGACGGTCACAGTCATTAGATCGGATTTATCAGGTGTGGGTATATCAGATCAACGGCTTCGTCAGAATGGATTCACCAGAACTAGAATAATCGATGTGGTTCCGAGAAGACCATCACCGCCAAATTTCGAAGCCGCACAGAATGAGAGGCCTTCACCACCAGCGATAAAGGCTTCAATAGAGGCACTGCCAATTATTCATATTGTAAAACATGAAGAAGAATGTGCTGTTTGTTTGTTGGAGTTTCAAGTTGGGGAAAAAGCTAAAGAGATGCCATGTAAACATCGTTATCATTCGAGTTGTATTAACAAGTGGTTGGAGATACATGGATCATGTCCAGTTTGTAGGTATAAGATGCCCGTGGAGATACCGGAATTAGTTAGCAGTAGCATTAATCAGTATCCTTTAGAAATTAATAACACACTCTTAGCTCATCCTATTCAAAGGCGGATCCAGAATTTTGAGTTTACGAGCTTTGGATTCTAAAAAACTAAATAAATTATGTTTACATATTTTGTGAATTTGTTGACACAAATACATGATTTTGGCCAAAATTACTAAGTTATACCGAATGTGTAACTAGAATTCTAGCTTCGCCCTTGATTATGATTAAATCTTGTGGATTATTAGAAAAGCTTGTATTTACTTAGTACTTATGGATTTGAGTTTTAAGTTCATCTTGCTTTGTATTGGATTGAAGTTCAACAGAGTTTTTCAAACTGTGTGATCAGAATGAGTAATACTAGTATGATTTGCAAATCAATGTTTTGTTTTTTGATTTGGTTTATCATTTCAATTTCCACTTAAAATAGTGAATTTAAAGTTTGAAAAATTGATTTGAAGAATATTCAAGTGACATAATACTCTCTTTTCAATGTCAACTTCAAATACTTTTTTTTTAATTAAACCAAATATTGTCCAATCCCCTACATAGTAACACCTATTTTCTTCCAAACGTATGAATTTAAAGTATTTTATGAAATGCATAACAAAATATTTATGTTTTAAAATGTGAGCTTGTCCTCGTGAGAACAAGTGTTTTGCACTTTTGCAAGTTGATGATATTTGTTTTTTGAACGCATTAAATTGTGATTAATTAGTAGGTATGTAGTTAATAATTAGTTTTCTCTCTTTTCAGTAATGCGGACATGCAATCCATTTTGTTCGAGCAAATGTGCTAGCCAAAATTGTCGGACTGCTGCCAAACATTTGAAAAAGTATTTGTAAATGTAGGAATATATTTGAGGTGACGAGTACTTATGCGCCGCCAAATTACCTGTTTTTTCATGTTTCTACCATTTTTTTCCCTTACATTGTCTCTTTTCTATGTCTAATTGCTAAGTGTTTATACTAGTGTTGTTAAATTGATCGTTCTTATCATGTTTACGGATTTTCTGGTGATAATTGAGTATTTATTTCAAAGTTGAGATTGATATTGTGGAACCAAATCTTGAAGTAAGGTTTGTACTTGTTATTCTATCTCCCTGTTATTATTTATTCATTGCATTATGGTAAGGGAAAGTGTTAATGCACGAATGGTAATGCCGTTTCATATTATGAGTGTAAATGCACGAAGGGTGATGTCGTGCCATATTGTGAGTGGTAACGCACGAAGGGTGATGCCGTGCCATGATATGAGAGTTAATGCACGATGGGTGATGCCGTGCCATGATATGAGAGTTAATGCACGATGGGTGATGCCGTGCCGTCTTTATTAATTTTATGGTGAGATTGAGAGTAAAAGCACGAAAGGTGATGCCGTACATTTTTCCTTTACTGTATTCGTGTTCCTGTCAATTCATATTATGTTGGTTGTTTCAGTTCTCATTCTGCTATAGCTCTTTACTTCGTATTTTCCCCCAGCATGTATCCCCTCCCGATAATTCTTGTCTGATTTTTCATTACTATTATTTGTATATACACTGTTAAATTGTACAGATTGATTTGTAGGTGCCTTGCCTTAGCCTCGTCACTACTTCGTCGGGGTTAGGCTCGACACTTACCAGTACATTGGGTCGGTTGTACTAATACTGCACTCTGCACTTTTCGTGCAGATTTTGGTACCGGCTCGGGTTGATCGAGATTTTAGCTGTTGGACCCGTTATCTGGAGACTCAAGGTAGATATGTCGGCATTCACAGACCTTGAAGTCCCCATCTATCTTTTCAATTTTACTATTTCTTTCAATCAGACAATTGTATTTCTTTCAGACTATTACTTGTAGTGAATTCTAGAATGCTCGTGAATTGTGACTCCAGATCCAGGTGGTAGTCATTAAGGCAGTTCTTATATTATTTCGCACTTATTATATTTTATCTTAGCTAATTATTGTTATTTACTGAATGAAAATAAGGATTTGGTTTAATGATTCTCTAACGTTGGCTTGCCTAGCAAGTGAAATATTAGGCGCCATCACGGTCCCGATGGTGGGAATTTCGGGTCGTGACAAGTTGGTATCAGAGCCCTAGGTTGCCTAGGTATCACGATTCACGAGCAAGCTTAGTAGAGTCTGGAGGATCGGTACAGAGACGTCTGTGCTTATCTTCCAGAGGCTATAAAGTTTAGGAATATATTTCACTTCTATTCTCCTCTATCGTGAGATGTTGTTTTTTCAATACTGATTGAACTCTTCTGCTCTTATTCTCTCGCAGATGGCGAGAACACGTACTGCTTCCTCTGCTGAGCATCNTCCCATGGCACCAGCCGTCTCTCAGGCTGGAGGAGGAGCCCAGACTCCCACTACTCCCGCTCCGAAGCAGATAGCTCCCAGTATCATGCTCCAGCAGCTCAGCCAATCGGAGTAGTTCAGCCGGTTGTTGCGGCGCAGACTTGTGATGGGTCAGCTATGTCTTCTGAGGCTTTGTGGAGATTGGACAGGTTTACCACGCTCTTTCCTGTTCACTTCAGTGGTGTTACTTCAGAGGATCCCCATGAGTATCTCGACAGCTGTCACGAGGTTTTACGGAACATGAGTATAGTGGAGACCAATGGGCTTGACTTTGCTGCATTCCAGATGACTGGTCCTGCCAAGAAATGATGGAGAGATTATTTGCTGACCAGACCAGCTGGGTCGCCTGATCTTACTTGGGACCAGTTCTTTCAGATCTTCATAGAGAAGTTTCTGCCTATCACATTGAGAGAGGAGCGTCGCCATCAGTTTGAGCGTCTCCAGCAGGGCAGTATGACTGTTACTCAGTACGAGACCTGTTTTGTGGACTTGGCCCGTCATGCTATTCTTCTGCTTCCCATCGTGAGAGAGAGGGTGAGGAGGTTTATTGATGGACTTGCTCAGCCTATCATATTGCAGATTGCTAAGGAGACTGGGAGTGAGATTTCTTTTCAGGCGGCTGCTAATGTCACCAGACAAGTTGAGATGGTTCTTACTCAGGGAGGTCAGGGGTCTGACAAGAGACCTCGTTATTCCGGTGAGTTCAACGGTGCCCCATCTTGAGGCAGGGGTACTTTTGGTAAAGGCCATCCTCCTAGGCCGTTTCATTCAGCACTCTAGGCATCCCACGGTGCCTCAGGTGGTCGTGGTCCTTATATGCCTTGTTTTGACCAGCTAGCCTACAGTGCACCACCAGCTTCTATTAGTGCACCTCCACCCTAGAGCTATCAGGGTGGCTATTCAGGTCGACAGGGTCAGTTTCAGGGTCAGCAGTCACAGCAGCCAAGGTTATGTTATACTTGTGGTGACCCGAGGCACATTGCTAGATTTTGCCCTCGGGCAACGGGCAGCTCACAGCATCAGAGTTCTCGTGCCATGGTTCCGGTGCCAGTTGCTGCACCACCTACTCAGCCAGCCAGAGGCAGGGGTCATACAGCCAGAGGTAGGGGTCGGACTGTTAGAGGTGGAGGTCAAGCAGTTAGAGGTGGAGACCAGCCAGTTAGAGGTCATCCCAAGGACGTAGTTCAGGGTGGTGAGGCCCAGCCCCGGTGTTATGCTTTCCTAGCCAGGCCTGAGGCCAAGTTATCTGACGCTGTTATCACAGGTACTGTTTCAGTTTGCAGTAGAGATGCTTCAGTTCTATTTGATCCGGGGTCTACTTACTCCTATGTGTCATCCCATTTTGCTTCCTATTTGGTTGTGCCCCGTGATTCTTCGAGTGCTCTTGTGTATGTGTCTACACCAGTGGGGAGATGTTATTGTTGTAGATCGTGTTTATCGTTCGTGTGTGGTCACCACTTGTGTAGACCTTCTACTTCTTGATATGGTTGATTTTGATGTCATACTGGGTATGGATTGGCTGTCACCTTATCATGCTATATTAGATTTCCATGCCAAGATGGTGACCTTACCCTTACAGGGGTTGCCTCGATTAAAGTGGAGAGGGACTCTTGGCCATTCTACCAGCAGGGTTATCTCTTATGTGAAGGCTCAGCATATGGTCGAGAAGGGGTGTCTAGCTTATTTGGCTTATGTCCGTGATTCCAATGCGGAGGTTCCTTCCATGGATTCAGTGCCGGTTATTCGTGAGTTTCCAGAGGTGTTTCCTGCAGATCTGTCGGGGATGCCACCCGACAGGGATATTAATTTCTATATTGACTTGGCTCCGGGCACTCAACCCATTTCTATTCCGCCATACTGCATGGCCCCGCCATAGTTGAAAGAATTGAAAGAACAGTTACAAGATTTGCTTGATAAGGGCTTCATTAGACCTAGCGTTTCGCCCTGGGGTGCACCTGTGTTGTTTGTAAAGAAGAAAGACGGATCGATGAGGATGTGTATAGATTATCGACATTTGAACAAAGTCACCATCAAGAACAAGTATCCATTGCCGAGGATTGATGATTTATTTGATCAGCTTCAGGGTGCCAAGGTATTTTCGAAGATTGATTTGAGATCTGGCTACCATTAGTTGAGGATTAGGGCATCCGATGTTCCTAAGATAGTTTTTCGGACTCGGTATGGGCATTATGAGTTTCTAGTGATGTCATTTGGGCTGACAAATGCCCCAGCAGCATTCATGGATTTGATGAACCGAGTGTTCAAGACCTATTTGGATTCCTTTGTGATTGTGTTTATTGATGATATCTTGGTTTACTCCCACAGCCGAGAGGATTATGATCAGGACCTTCGGATCGTTCTTCAGACTCTGAGAGACAGCCAGTTATATTCTAATTTCTCAAAATGCGAGTTTTGGTTGAGTTTAGGTTCTTTCTTGGGTCATGTTGTATCGGCAGAGGGTATTCAGGTGGATCCTAAGAAGATTGAGGCAGTTCAGAACTGGCCTAGACCCACATCAGCTACAGAGATCCGTAGTTTTTTGGGATTGGCACGTTATTATCGTCGGTTTGTGGAGGGATTTTCATCCATAGCAGCCCCGTTGACCAGGTTGACCCAGAAGGGTGCCCCGTTCAGGTGGTCAGACGAGTGTGAGGCAAGCTTCCAGAAGCTCAAGATAGCTTTGACTACGACACCGGTATTAGTATTACCCACAAGTTCAGGATCTTATACGGTATATTGTGACGCATCCCGTATTGGTC